AAAGACGTATGTCGCAAACGAAATCACTTTCTGACTTCTGATTGGATAACACCAGCGCGTATGTTGCTTTTTGATCGGGATGCTTATAAAACTGATGCTTCTTTCCAAAGCTCTGGAAGATATGAACATAACGAACAAAACGGCCTGGACGAAAGTCAACAACAAAACCTCCCTACTAAACTAGTGCTTAGCACCGTCCATTCCCAGACAGTTGGCTGCAAGAAAGGTTATTCAACCGTCTGATGCAGTAGCCAAGACCATCGTGGCGCTTCTAGTAAACAAACGCATGAGAAAAATCCAGCTGATCATCTAAAAGTCTTTTTCTCAAGCAAGCATCCCAACAAAACTGCAACAATTGCGCCCTTCTAGGTTCATCTCAAAAACTAAATAAGTATCCCTTCATGCAGAAAGGTTACGCAGGAAGAGAGGCAAATGAACATTTGTGTTCCTAGTCACCCTTTCCTCCACAACTGCTGTACAGAGGACCTGTGAGTGGGATGTCGGCATTCAATTGATCGAGCGTATGTCTGAGTATCATCCTCTGGAGGCGCGAAACTGGACCACATCAGTCCTAGATGTGAGGCACGGAACAAGCCTACACTTGTCACCAGATCAGCCATCCTTGAATCTATGTCCGGCCTCATAGTACTTATGGACATAATGGCTTATAAAAACACACGGACACAACCGGCTGCAGTTTCCTGTTGCAGTTTCTACTAGGCCACTTGAGACCAGCCGACCATCAGCAAAAGTGTAACAAGCCACGGGTGGATGCAACGTCCAACTTATGTGAAACTATCAGCCTGACCTACTGTGCACAGAGGCATCACTCACGCCACTAAAAGAAAAGCTGCAAACCCAACAGCAGCGTAGGAAAAATTCCTATGCATACCCCGTTGGCCACGTTGAACGCGGACGACCTGTGAGTCTAGACAGACACAAAAGGAAAGCAACCACGATCGAAAAAGTCACGTAAACTTCGCTCAGTCGAAATCTGTTGGCTAGATTCAAGGTGAAGTCCTTAACATAAACGAGCCTCTTGGGAGTAAACTCAACAGGGATACCCATTGGTGGTATCATACGACATACAGGGAACCTGACAATGCCTCACTCCTCACCACCACTCCAAAAAGCCCGAGAAGCTAAATGCATGCATGTTCATCGCAAATTCTTGAACACCAACAAATCTAGTAGTCCACGAACGCTACATGCAGCAGCCATAGAAATATTTAAAGCTACGAGGGAAAATCTATGACCAACGAAGGCAAAAAGTCCACACGAACCCCCCGTAATCGAACGGTAATTTTTTAAGGCATAAAGACAAATGCGTCGCACGAGCCCACTTCGAGACGTGTACACCAAACCAGCGCTCAGCTATTAAATCTGCTAAACGGCGTTCGCATAGTGGCTTAATCAAGAACAAAACGAAAACGCGAATTTTTGGAGACGTGGTACTCCACCGAAGAAGCCATCAACAAACACATCGAAATTGATCCCATTTACCAGCCACTTAGAGCAAGAGAACGTCAGAACCACAGAAATAAGAGCTGCAAAAGCGACCATACGAGGAACTCAAACAAGAAACAAGAAAGCGTCATTCGAACGGACACATCAGTTGGATTGGCAGAGACGCCCAATCAAAACATCAAATCAATCGGCGGACGCAGGGAAACTAACCACCACGGTGGGGGAAATAGGGCGGTACAAGCAACCAACCAAACTCGAGAACAGCAGACCACAACGCAATGCGCATCAAGGCCAGCGAGAGCAAGGTACTAAAATTAGAAGCCGTTGGGATAACCAATCACCACAAAGGAACACAGACCACAACGCAACAAGGATCACAAACGGACCAATAGATTCACTAAACTCGTTACACTTCAGGTAGCCAATCACGTCAGAAGATAACAGATAGCCTTTGACTGCTATATAAACACACGCAGGCAAGGAAGAAGTACCCACCCAACTGCGTACTGATGATGTCTCCTCGTATGCTAAGCTCGGCGAACAGATCCACAGCCATCTGATCAACAACCAATCTGCTAAACTATCTAGTAGCAGATCTCTCAGCTCCCCACCCTCGGGCGCAGCGGACATAGAGTTGAAGTGTTTGTCCGCAAATACTCTTATTCTCTTCAAAAAATTTAGCGCTGTCAACCAGTTAGCTTGCATTGAACAGCCGTCCATAATCGTGCTTACAAAGACCCGGCTCGCAACAGTTGTCTGCGATGTAGAGATCTCGATAGAAGTTTATTCCATTGCCCGAGCTGACCCGAAACGCGGGAGGGCAAGTATATTCGCTTTTTACTTAGGTGCGGTCTTACCATCCAGAATGTTTACCACCACAATACTCTTACACTTTTTGTGACGTAATGTGTTTAAATGCCGCTGTGGGGTATCGATTTTTCTCCTCGGCTTGATCTGCCGTTGCCCTGGAGTCAACTAGTTCTTCATACACACACTTGAGCAACTCTCTTCCGGCCGTCACATCAGATATCTTCTGCTTCTAGATGACTTTGAGGCTCCCAAGTCCTTCTGGATAGAACCCCAACGCACTGGGTCCATTGGAAGTTTGGCATGGGCGATGACCAAAGTCCCTGAACAGGACGCTTGGATTCAGCATGTTGTCTCACGCACTGGATACCGCGCAGGCCAACTACCGTCCATGCTGGATTTGTTTATCACCAACGAAAGGTACTTCAGTGATCAAGGGATAATTACAGATCCACTGGGACACAGTGACCAATGTGTCCTAGCCACTGATCTCAACCACCACTGAGTCAAAAATTCAGAACCTCAAACATGGATCCCAAACTTCTGCCATATAGACTTCTCAGAAATGAAGAGCTTATATTAGCGATTTAAACCGGGACCAGCTTCAGTGAAAGAGGTATGCATGACAATTTTTCCGAAGATTCATTCGGCTGGCGCTAAGTTCGCTTCTAAAAAACAGCGTGCAGTCAGGTAGGTCAAAGACTACCCAGAAGGATTCTGGTCTTCCAGAAAACATTCCCCAGCTACTTTTCAAAAAGATTACTACAGGTAAGACGGGAGACAAGCTGGTATTTCGTGAAATAAGGAACCGTCGTAAGCAAAAACCCACCAATGGAACATACGAAAACAAGGCACCAAGCTATACCTTACCTGACAGACAGAACTGGAAAACGTGCAAGCGACAGAATACTTCTATTTGAAATCTGCCGAAAACTCTATGCAGATTGCGCCTTAGCAACCTCGTCACAGCCAGTTCTTTCAAGACGTAACTACGAACGGCCTCCAGATATATAGGATTACATGGGGGACGACATTCGTCAGCATTTGTACGAGACAAATTCCTCCACGGTGCTGATGCCAGGCAACATCTACCCAAGGAACATGAAGGTAATGTCGCTCACATTAGCAAAATATTTCTCCATGGCATTTCGTCAGTCATGAACGAAAGATACTTTTCTTCTGCTTGGAAGGAGTCGAATGTCCCAACACTCTACAAAACGAATGACGGACTATCGCCTGGCAACTACAGACCCATTAGCAAAACTAGTGTCCGTGCGAGCAGATGGAACGCATTTTAAGGCGGCTAATCTTAAACCACCTTACAAACAACCACTTGATATCCCCGGTACGACACGGGTCCCTTCAAAACCGTTCTCGTGTAACGAGCACCTTTCAATCTATGGAAAGTTTAAGGGCGAGGGGCTCATATAGGACTTCGTATTCTTCGAAAGCACTTTTCTCAAAAGCGTTCGATTGGGTCTCCAGAACTCTCTTATCCTGGGTCTTTTGGGGATAAAGGGGAAATTCCGTGCTGGAATACAAGCAGGCTCGACTTACTCTTTTCGGCGTCGGCCTTCGACAAAATTCCATTACCGTCTCTGAGGTAAGTCAACAACCTTCCAGCACTTTTTTGAATTCCATGCAACTTTTTACGGACCAATTGAAGTTTGTGAGTCCAAATGCCATTGCTCTTCAAGTGGATGTAGACGCTGCGAAGCAGTGGTTGATGGGCTCTCGCCTTCTTCTGAATGACGAAAAATGTATCCATATATCATTCGGAGTGGACTCAGCGAGCGCCTTTGTCGTGCTTGATGAGAATGGCCTAGAAGAAACCACGACGATGGATGCCACAAATAAAACGAGTATCTGGCTTTCTTCAAAACTTTTCCTTCTGCTACGTTTAAAATCGGTCCAAGGGGCATTTGCTGCTCTGTGAATGAATCAGTACAACGTCATCTACTCAGGATTCAAAGCACACCTAACCCTCATTGAGCGCATCCATCTGGCTGTCAGGAAAGTCGTTGCAGGTCTAGCACCCGTGTACTGTACGGCGCACCCCGCCACAATGGACACCTTAGTCCTGGAGCATTGGCACCTCTGATGATACCCAATATTTATCTATGCCCTGTTTGAACGAGTTTTGGTCAACAGGCGTTTCACTGCCGATCAAAGTGACATTCGGCTGGGACAATGTAAGAGAATTTTCGAAGCCAGGTAGCAATTTTTCCCATTTCGGGTGTTTATTTCGCTGAGTTCCCTTCCGCCGATGACTGTTTACGCTGCCTCTAGTACCCAGTTCAAAGCACGTTTGAACGTTTTCAGTGGTCCGCGAGCTGGCAGGTTTACTACTCCGCACTGAGAACATAAAGAGCAGTGCTACAATCTTTCGTCGCTTAAGCTTTCAAGTGAGCGAACGAGGCTGAACGAAATAAACAAACTCGGGCGGAAGTCTTGATCTTGTGTATCAATTCGCGAATCCGTAATTAACTTGTGTCATTTTGATCAGTGAAGTACACTCTGAAAATTTGATGCCCAAGAGCTAAAACTTGGATCTCTCAACTAATCACCCATTTGCCTTTGCTCTCAGGATCGCAATTTTAATCCCTGACCGGACTCCTCAATCCAGCCTAGTCTAGAGGACTGCGACTTCCGGCCAGTTTACGGACCTATCGATTGTGTTGACCTAGAAATCAACTGGCGTCCTTCATATCAAGGATGAATGTAACGCGCGGTGTTCACTTGATTTTCTAAACTCGCTCTGACGGTCTGTGTCGTTTGGTTATACATCGAAACAGTGAGTATTGTTTCTAAACAAAACGCGAGAAGGATTTCAAAGTATTTTGGTTCTGTGTTCATACCGAATTAATTGTTTCAAAATGATTACATATGTTTAGTGGCTCGTCGCTCATGAGTATCGGTGAAGCATGTTTTCTTTTCTGCTTGAGATCTTGCTGTTCGCGACAAGGTGTTAGTCGCGAAATTGTATCGTTTACTCCTCAGAAGGGGCTGAGGAGGGCTGATTCTATTACGACAACCTCGTAAACAATCTCATGGTTAACCAATCAGACAAATTGGTGTCATACAAATTGGACCTGCTCGATAGATACCTCATTTGCAACTGTTATGCATGGTCGCTGGATGGCGCTTCAGGTAGCACTGGATTGTCGACAACGTTCAGCGCATGCACACGGGAGATTGCACAATAAAACCGTTACATCTTAGGCAAATGCAGCGTGTAACCAAAACAACCACATTAAAGCAATTCCAGGACATATAAACCAACTGAATAAAATTACCTGGTGACAGTTCTATTCAGTGAGGTCCCCATAGGTCATAAAAATGAAAAATCGAAAGGTTGTGGTAATAGTGATATTCATCAATTAGGAAGGCGATTATGACGAGAGGGATGTTTGCTTGGTGCTAGTTACGGAGAATGCTAAACATCTTGTTCTCGTGGGTCGACCGCTGCTTCAGCCGAATGTTTGCTGGTTCTACACCCTGGAATGAGTTTGCAGTCACATTTATAGTGTTGGGCGAAGAGTTCGCTAGCTCTCGAAGCGTTTCGGTGTGTTTTCTGCTGTCGATTAAGTCGCACCAGATATATCAAGGGCGCTCCATCTTCAGGTGGCTCAATTCATGGCACCGAATGTTAACCTCACTTTCCTGGGTGTCCGCAGAAGTTTGCCTTAGTGCGCCAGCCAACCGATGTCCCTCCGCTAGCACCCGCAGCTAGTGAGAATCAGGGTGATATGTCTAGTTCAAACGGGTTTTCTGGCCAAATGATAGGAAAAGGAGAACAAAAGACGTTTTTGATCCCAAACTAGTTTCAGGGGTCTATCGGTACTGGTAGCCGAAAAACCTGCGCATAGTGTGTCAAAGATACCTGAACTTACTGGCTGTATTCAGCTCTATTCAAGAGTAAACTGCCTCTCTGAGATGCTCTAAAGGGCTCTAAAATAATAGCCCAACATTGGGTCCTATGTTGATGTTTCGCCAGAAATGGATGAGAGACCCTGGATTGAAATATGACACCCGTCTCAAGAGATCAAATCCTCAATGCCTCCAGAATAAAAGGCTTTGTGTAATCTCAGGTCGGACAACGGATACCCTTGAGAATGCGTTTGAACAAAAAAACCAGCGCAGTGAAAGAGCGATTTCTTTTGGTTGGCCATAGCCAATTTGTTTGATTGGGTAGAGGAGGACGTGCCTGTTCTGACTACTTTCTGGCGGAGGAAAGGGACGATATGCGGGAGGAAGACCCTTGTTGTCTAAAGGTGGCATGCAAATCACCGGATGACATCGGGCGCATACCTCGAAAGCTCCATTGAATTCAGAATATATCACGCTACTTACCTGAGGACTGAGTCCAAAATGAGGATCGAAAGAAAAGGCAAATGGAACTGGTCTGAACCTTGAGTGTTTTCGATGGATGCCGAGGTCTCCGAAACTGCGACGTAAGCCAGTTTGCTTCACGGGATCCCGTGAGTGTTTAAAATAAGATGTAAAAATACAGCTTCGCTTCTTTCACACAGAGCTTCCTTAGTTCCGGCTTGAATATGGAAAGATATGGAATATGTGTGAATGATAGAGTTTGAAAGAACCTAGTTGCTGGTCTTACTTTGTATCGTTGAACTACTCTTGGGTACTCATAACTTCACTGGAGGACAACGACAGTACAGAAGAGTATATCAGCCGACGCATTTGGCTCTAGGATTCTTAGGCGATTGAGTGGCACTCGAACTGTCATTGATTTACGGGAACCCATTTAGGAACCAGCATAATTATGTAACGTCTCTTAGTATTCTGAGGAACTGACAAGAATTCACCCCGGAGAAATATCGACTGTTCTTTACTCAATAGTTTCGAATGTGGAAGGCGAGGTGCGTGACCTTTTCTACTGTGAACCTACGGGCAAGGATAACCACCTCCAGTTTAGTTGTAAAAACCTGCTCAGTTTTATAACCACTGAAAACCACCTAGGACTATCTGGCCTGAGGTCCTAGAGGAAAGTAAATAGACAGCAGCCGGGTCGGATTGGAAGGTTATACCTGACGGAGGTCTCGACCCAATGAAGCACCTTCTAACTAACAGATTAATGGTGTTGATGCCACGCTTAAAAAACGCAGATGACTGTGGGGTAGCTTCAGGGCCGATTTATTTGCAGATGGCTATGTTAGTAACAAAATCCGCAGGAATCACTGGGTGCTAAAGGGCTAAAACAACTCTATGGAGGAAGGTTGGCTTCATCTTCGGTGAGTGCGCACCTGGGCTGTACTAATAAATAAGTAATAAATAATTGCTTGACTGTGACATCGCGTCGGTGCTTAGCTCTCATGCCACCCGAAGGAAGCACAAGGGCCGAGGTACTGTCAGGTCGCCCCAGCCTAGACAGGAGCAATCGAGCTGCTGAGGTCTTGCTCGAACCCTAGATTTTCCGGTCACTAAGTTCGTGCCTTAACCACCGAGCTACCTCGAGCTCCTTAGATACACTGGGGTTTTTCGTGCAACACAGCCTTCCAAGCCAAGTTGTCCAATGGTTAGAGGCCCGACCAACACAGTCTCCTGGTTCTTCAGGCTAAGGATTGAAAGACATGTGGCGTTCTGTACTTCAAAACAGTGGTTTGCACTAAAATTCCCCACCAAACCCTGCTGTCTTTCAGTCATACTTTGAGCCAAAGCCATCGGTTGTGGAGCCTAATAGTCCTCCTGTCTAGGCCCCCTAACGATATCCCAGCCTCCTTATAGCCATTATTCATGCAGGTACAATTACTGTCACGCCACACTGGCCGTCGAGTGGTGTCATCTTCTGGGTCACCTTACCAACTGCACACAGCAGGACGGGTAAACTATAACAGTCTGCTGCTGACTCCTCCTTTCTCGTTCACACGACCTATCACCCCCTCGATCTGCTCCAATAAGAATACTTACCTTGTAGGCTCATCCGTTGAGGCTGATGATTCCTTTCGTCTTGCGGCGGCCTTGGCTGCAACATCTGCGGGCCAGCCAGCACCGATATTCTCAGATGTTTCGAAGTCAACCTTCAGTCCTTGACACCCGACTCACTTGACTAATTTTAACGTTTGCATTCTGAAACTGTTTTCGCTCACGCACTGAACTCGCTTGGCATTGGTATTTGCTGTGTATGGGACTTTGAGATGCAAACACAGTAGTTGAGCTAACTTCTCTTCACACTCCTCTTGCTTTCCCGCTGGGCACCTCCGGCGATCCAGAAGCAGCCGCAGCAAGCTATGCAGAGATCAGCATTGCTCAATCCACTGGGTGGAAGTATCCAACACCCGTTGACCGTCGCCTCTGTGTTGTTCGTATGGCAACACCCATGAAAGCCGGTTGATCAATGTCTGCTTTATCTACTTAGGCCCCAACCAACTGCAGACCTGACAACACCAAAGACAAAAAACTCCAAAGGCCAAAGGCTGAGGTATTACTGTTTTGGGGAAGGCTTGGCGTTGGGACTTCTGTTTGGATTGGATAGGACATACGGACAACGACGAACGGCTTTCTCAGCTATGCACTGATCGCCATTTTTTACGAAGTAGGAAACTTCTGAATAACCTCCATGGTGCCCCTCCTAACGGTAAGCCAGCCAGAAACCCGTAATTATCACATTGCCGTCAGTTACTGATGACGAGGATTAACAGCCGCTCCTTTTGGAACATTGATGTGAATTCTGACCATACGGTGACGTGAGTTCCGCCTGCGGCATGATACTGCCATATGTGCTCGAGCAATGCATATCAGACAGGACAGTGTCGCTGCTTGAATCCCGAAGAAGTTTTCCCGCCCGTCTCGGGCACACAGTGCCGGAATAACCGAAGATAATTTCACTTGGTCGATGCGATTGTTCCTCGAAAACCGCTTGTAAACGAGTGCATCGAGGATCAAACTGGCGCGGTCTTCTTTAGTAGAGAAGGACATTTTGAGCACTTGGTCGAGCGTTTTGAACACCAACTCCCGTCGCCGCTTGCTGTCACAGTTGGATTCTTGAATTGTACCGGAACCTTGGAGGGTACACTCGAAAATCCCCTAGAGAGGTTTATTACGGCATGTTTCAAGGTTCACTGTGCTCCTGGTTCGGATGACCTGCCTTCCGCGTTATTCTAGAACGGGGAGAAGTCCTTGGCGACTGTTTGGTCTATTTTCCTCCATTTGAGGAAAAAAGAATGTCCAAGGTAAGGAAACCCGTAGCGAACTCGGTAATCACAGGCGGAGAAGGTTGACTCCGGTCGTAAGGATACTCTTGGCGTCATCTGTCTTCGTTTTGTGGTGGCCGATGAACCACTGACTCAACAGTAGTATGTGGAATTTCGGCACTGTAAGGGTGCGCTTCATACGCCTTCAGGTGCTAGAACACCATACGTCTAACCGACCCACAAGTTTGGTATTCCTAAATTGTCAGGGCGCATCTTACTCTGTTGGGTGGTGCATTGTCCTTAGTAGGCCAGCTCAGTTGGGAATAAACCGAAGATTTGTTAGGACAGTTTCTTTGTACTCTTAAACGTGTGAAAATACACAGAGGGGGGAAGGGAATCCCTAAAAGCTTCTGTTAAAATGTGTTGTTGGACAAGGTTGTGTTCTTTCTTTGTGTTCACTTTCTTGGTCTGTGGGGTAACGAAACGAATGCTTGGAAGTCTTCTAGGCCCCGACTACTAGCTAGCTACTGGCCAAAATCTTGCCAGCCTGATATGTGAAGATGGCGTCACCTTCGTCTTCGAATTGGAAAAGAGAGCACAAGTGTCACTGGATGAACTGACCAAAGTTTCCCCTTCCTTTGGC